GAGGAAGGAAGGTAAGGAAGCAGGGGCAAGTAAATGAATGAAGGAAGGAATAAGGAACTGAGGAAGAGTGTAGAGGAAAAAGGAAGGTAGTAAATAGATGAAAAAAAGGAGGACAGGGAGGAAGGAAGGTAAGGGAGAAGGGGCAAGTAAATGAAGGAAGGAACTAAGGAAGGGTGTAGAGGACAAAGGAAGGTTGTAGGAAGTAGATGGAACAAAGGAAGGAGGACAGGGAGGAATTAAGGAAGGAAGGAAATGGGGAAGGGGTAAGTAAATAAATAAAGGAAGAAACCAAATGTAATTTTTACTGAGGCTGAAGCTTTTCCATGTTTTGTCACCAAGAACACCTGATATCAGCCAGGCTGCCCTCTGGTGGCCATAAGGAGGGATTGCAGATTCTACAGTTTGATTGGCTCCCAGTAACCATCTACACTGTAGATTCTACAGTGTAGATTCTACACTTTTTTTCTGCAGGATGCCTCACACTTCAAGCAGAAGTATCTTCTGCCTCAGCCTTAACATTTTCTGGAACTTCTACAATAAACTCAGGGAGATGTGAGAGATGATCTATTAACACAAGACTTGTAACAGCAGCAGATTTTTGGGGGTTTATTTTCTGAATTCCAACTTACTGATATCTAATTTGTCAGTGGTGTCAAAAAACACATTTGAATTTATGAACATTCACACAATATTTAAAAAGGATTTTGTAAGACAAGCTAAAACAATCTAAAGCTGCACCTGTTTTATTAAAGTTTGTGTTTGTCTTTACTGTTGAATCATTCTTTCATTTATTATAGCCACACAAGAGCTTTAAGTGAAAACCTACATTATGTGTATCCAAAAACAGGCAAACCATTTAGACCTGATAGAATAATGTAATATGCACCAAGCGTCCGTCATGATCATGTTTAGATCGTCCTTTTCTGGGCCTTAATAAAACTCCACCACTGGGTGCAATGAGCAAACATAACAAATTTGGCCCCATCTGCTGGCAGAACTATCACAAAGCCACAGGGTGACAATGAAGGCAACTACATAATAGAAGACGATGGTTCTGCAACACCCCTCCTTTACAAGCAAAGTCTGTGGTTGGGTCACGTCAAAAGGTCCCGCAGGGTGTTATGAGCAGGAGGGACAGCGCATTATCAGCATTTATGCATCTGAGGCGCTTCACAAGAGTTGGAATCTGAACTTTTGCTGCTCGATGTGCCAAAAACTGAACGCCTCTGAAGTATCTGGGGAATCCAGCCAATGGTGTTCTCTGGCTTTATTGAGGAAATAAAATAAACCCATTTTTTCTATTTCATCAATTTCCATTTTATCATCAAAGATGATGCTGCAGACGCTTCTTTGCTGTTCAATGTGGATCGCAAACAGATCAAGACACCATGGGCGGAGGTTTAGGGACCATGGGGACATGTCACTACCAACATTTTGGACCGGCCTACTTGTCCCTTCCAAAAATAAGATGTGAATACCATGTTTATAATTTACAATACAACATTGTTGCAGCAGTAGAGGACCTCTGGATGGAGAATATTTACAGACGAAAACATGTTTTATCTAAAATGGAAAATGTTTATCAATTTTTTTTTTTTTTTTTTTTTTACAATTTTGGTATAATTCCTGCTCTAAGTGGGTAGCTCTGTGAGCTAAATTTGTTGACATTATTTCAATAACTGATTAATCCAATTAATTGTTTCAGCCCTAAATAAAATGCATGAAATGGGTTAAACAGAGTAACTACAGCCTAGATGTAGAACTTGTAGAGTGAAGTTAGTATATTAAATGCTCAGAGTCAGTTCCTCTTCTAGTTTCAGTGCATATGTTAATACAATACATTTATTTGACGTCCCTTGAATCTATTATTTCGCTTTTTTCATGATACAAAGAGAACATTTAAAAGATAAGAGTGGGTTTTACCTCTATTTACCTCTGCACAATTCTATATCTTCAAAATAAAAGAAAGTATAAATCCACATATAACAGACAAATTTAGACTATATTCAGTAAAATAGGCACAGATTTACCTACTATCTTAGTCGCTGGTAATTTCAAATGCAAACCTTTTCAAAGGGGAAAAAAGTCCTATTTCCTCATTCATCAGAGCCAGTTAAGCTTCAGTACCGGTAATTGATAAACAGCATCTAGCGTGTGTAGTGCTTATAAAATTTGTATAAATGTAGCAAGAAACAACCTGATTTTCACGTCAAACATAAAAAAAACGAGCATGCATATTTTTGCATAGACAAGACACTAACAGAGTTTATGGATGGGAGGCTTTTGAGCGTCATGGTGAAGAACGGTGGCTAAATTGGTCACTGATTTTTTTTTGTTGAATGTCACAAATGTTTATTTCTGAATTTTGAGTTGTTATATTGGTTTACCTGGTGAAAATAAACAAGTGAGATGGGTATATATATATATATATATATATATATATATATATATTATTTTTTT